AGATGGAAATATATAGACAAGGAAATCAAACTTCAAACAAAGGCGCCATGATTTGTAGTGGTTCACCTTCGTCATAAGCCTATGATCATTTTCTAGCCCCTCTTGAAAGTTCCAATTCCACTTTCAAGTTGTGAAGGACAAACTTTGCCTTCACTCCTCTTTTTCAACTTGGAGAGGACCAACCTTTTTCATGAGCTCGAGTCCCTCACACAGGAAGAAAAATATAAAATTAGAAGAGAAAATAACTTTAGCTAGAGTCATGGTTTAAAATTGCGCAATATGAGGCTCGCCTTGAGGCCCGCCTTTGCGCAATTCCAGTAAAAAACGCCTCAATGCTTACGTCTCGAGTTTTTGTTATGAGGCTTGCGCCTCAACTTGGTTGAGGCCCGGCTTAAGGCCCGCCTCGCCTCACTGGCATGAGGCTTACGCCTCACACTATATATATATTAAAACTTACATAAATCTTGAAGTAAATGCCCGACATTGAACTTTATACGAGAGGAGGAAGGGGAGAGAGCAGTTCATCATAATGATGATTCAAATGAAGAACCCCTTAGTGATGACAGTGTTGATGACTTATGAGTTCTTATGTGATATGTCATTGCTATTTATTTTTAGAAATTGGAATTATATGTTAATGAAAAGAATACTGGGATTTGGGAAAGATAGAATTTTGAGTTGAACTATATTTCATGTTGTCTTATTATTGGGATATTTTGATTTCACTTCATATCTTATGTTTTTTATGTTTTATATTATTCACTCATTAGTATATAAAAAAATTATCATTTTATGTTTACGCAATTTTTTGATTTTGAGGCTTATGCCTCAAAACGCCTTGAGGCTTACGCCTCGGCTCACGAATGAAAATCGCCTCAATACCCTAATACGCAATTTTAAACATTGGCTAGAGTACAAATAATTAAAAAGAACATAGAATAAGAAACATGCAAAATTCTAACTTAGCAAGTCAAGATACATAGATATCTAGATGTATGTTGTGAAACCATTATGCAAGTATTATTTGAAAATCATGAAATTACAATCAAAATGGAAGGGATTTTTATAAAACTTCATATTACTCCTTCAATGTGCATGAAAGGAAGTTTAACAAGTAGGATCTGAAATGGCTAGAAAAAAAACACCTGTGAATGCTGAAGCAAGTGAGCAAGAGAGAGCTTGGAGTTCATCACTTTGGTAATAATAGTTGAATAGCTTTAGCAAAGAATGTTAATAGACTTTAGCAAGTTTGCTTGCAACTAAAACTGTGTAATGTTTGCTGATGATTTCAAAATATTCAAATAATAATATATGCATATGCTGGATGAAATGAGTTGGAACTTGTAGTACAAGTCAATCTAGCCAGTTTTATACCTAATTGGCCAACTGAAGCTAGCCGCATCCCATTATTGAGAAGGCCGGCTAATTTTACACCGAACTCTGGCCATAATTTACTGGTCAACCCCTACCTGAGTAGATTTGATGAGGACCTCATCAGCATTTTCGAAACGAGTACCATCAGGAGACGCCGGGAGTCACGACACGATTTCATGGTTTTATTTGAATCATTTTATGTATAGTTTATTTATTTTCAGTTTTTTCCGCTTTGCCCTTATGGGTTGGTCGCTATTGTAGCCCAAGGGTCAATTTAGTCTTTTGTTTTCTTTGTCATTTGGAGGCCTATATATGACCCTTTTCTTATGTAATAGTTAGTTTTGATGAATGAAAAATATTTGCTTTGTGTTCTCTTTGTGAGTGCAAACCTCCACGATCTCTTAGTGAGTTCGTAGAGAAGCTAGATTCTTTGTGAGTTCTAGGTTTTTCTCGTTCTACTATTTTCCTTTATTTCTCTTGGTCAATTCATCATCGTGGAGATTCGGATTGAAGCACTTGTGGAAAATTGGAATTCACTCCTTGAATCCTTATTTTCCATACTTCTTCCTCTCCTTGGATCCTTGCTGCGCCCCTTCCCCTAGCCAAACCCGGCCAGCCTCCCGCCGACCAACCCAGCACCCATCCCGGCCGTGCAGGAACCCTCCCGCGGCCAATCCTCATCCGGCACCCGTCGGCCACCACCAGCCCGTCTCCGCCGGCCTCCCTGGATCCATACCGCCGGCCCCATCTTGGTTTCCTTTTGCTAGTTTGAATTTCATCCTTTAATGACTTTCCTAATTAATTCACTTAAATTGGGAATTATATAGGGAGTTACAATTTTAAATTCAAATCCCTCCCAATTTTTTTTCAAGAAAGGAGTTACTTGACATAATTAAAATCTGAAATCTATAATTTCAGATTTTGATTAATTAATTGTGGCCCCACCTATTATTCAAGCCTCTCTTCTCTCCCATATGGCCGGGCCACCTTCTCCTATTGTTTCTCTCTCCTACTTGCCACCTCATCACTACTTAAACACCTCTTTATACCCCTCTCCCTCAGGTTAATTTAGTTTTCCATGATTTTAATTTCAAATTTTAAAATCTGAAATTTGAAATCAATTCCTCCCCCTTAATGGCCCCCTCTCTCTCCTAATCACCTTAATAGCTCCAAATTCAGCCAAATCTTTCCCTTTGCGCCCCTCTCTCCTCCTTGGATTAATTTGAAAATTCAAATTAAATCCCTCTCCTAAACCACTAAAATCTGAAATTTATTACAGATTTTCTGCATCTTGCCTCTTAGCCCCTCACCATAGCTGTCAGAAGTTTTGAATAAGACGTTGGATGCTCACTAGTCATCCCATGACTACCGCCACTGGCTACCGCTCCCAACGGACTAACGCTTTTGTGCGCCATGTTGTCTCCTAGGGCATCGCTCGGTTGCTCTTCAATCTTCCACTCCATTAAAAAAGTGCATACAACACAGAGGGTGAGTGAGAGACCCAAGTGAAAGTTCTATTTGTTAATTTGGATTATTGTTTTCTCCCCATAAATTACTCTCTTAATTCTATGTTGTCAATTTGATATTGGTCCCGTAATCTAGTTATATACCGCATGCCTTAATTTCAACTTGATAGTTTGAAACACTAAACTTGGGTTAAGCATTAATTTTATAACTAGCAAAGCTTTAAAAATCTATATTAAAATCCCCAAGCAGTTTTTGTTTCATGCTCAAACGTTTCACATCAGTTGGTACTCAGAGCATGGTTACCTAGGGTGCGGATCTCGACATGAGTCGAGCTCTTTTTCACCGGGGAATGATGCGGAATCAACGTCCTATGACTATCCGAGGAGCGAAGTCAACGGCTTGTCTCTGTCCACTTATCTTATATTATATTTGTAATTTTTAAATTTTTATTATGATTTTTCGATTATTTTAACCCTCACTTAGAGATATCCTTGTAGAGTCTTAAGGGGCATATGTGTCTGTTTTTAGTTCTTAGCTATATATAGAGGCCTTTCTTATGTGAATGAGAGGATATTGTTTAATGAAAATTTGCTTTTTTGCCGTTTTCTTTGGATGAGTCATCTTTTAAGATCTCTTATGTGAGTTTTTTTCTTTTGAGATCTCTTAGTGAGTTCTTTAGTTTGGTTTTCTGTTGTGAGTGCATCCCTCTCCAATCTCTTTAGTGGTTTTGGGAAGAGCTAGATCCTTTGTGAGTTCTATGACCTTCCTCCAATTTTTCTTTGCAATCATAAGTGTGAGAAATCAAGGAGACATCCGTCCGGATCACATTCTTTCTTGAACATCCATCCCTTCACCGTTACACCTGCAATTTTCCGCCGCCCCTCCTCCAGGCCGCTCAGGCCGCCGACGTTCCAAAGCACTGCCTCCGCCGGCCATCACCTTTCTCACCGTGGCCGCCTTCCCTTTCCTCTGCCTGTCATGCCGCGCTTCCTCTTCCTTGAATTTCAAATTTGAAATTCAAATGTTTTATGGGCTATTAATTGTTTCCTAAGTAGCTCCTTATTTACGCCATCAATTTAATTGATTTGAATTTCAAATTTGAAATTCAATATGCTTAATTGATTGCCCTGTTAAATGGAAGTTTTTCTTTCCTTAAGAAAACTGAAATATTTATTTAGATTTTGTAAAAAATCTGAAATTAAATTGGTGGTCCCACTTTTTCCAAAACTCACCCCTCTCTCCTCCTTATGTTGGCCGGCCCCCCTCATTGGGCATAATCTCTCTCCTATTCTCATTAAGTCAGGGCCCTCATTAAGCTCTCCATAATTACCTCCCCAATTCCTTTCTCATGCAATTTAAGTCTCCGACCCTTAAATTGTGAGTTTAAATTCAAATTCATCCCGCCAATTCCACTTTAATCTTGAAATTTTAATTTCAGATTCCATTCTCTCTCCCCAATTGATTTGGGATTTAATTAATCTTGCCACCTAGGCAAGTAAATGACATTTACGTTTGATATCAAGATTGTTCATATTGATTTGAACCTCACCGAGTCAATGTGGTTGGATGAGCTTATTTTGAATCTGTTGATTGGGTCGCTTGATCCTAATTGGGCCATTATATCTTGTCTGCTTGAGTTAATCCAAAATTGCTTATTTCAAGGAATCAAGTGGTCCTAACTCATTAGTTTAATTTTTTGGTACCCTATTGATTAAATCACGGTTAAGTGCAATCCTTCAGCTATATTAGATGATATGAGCGTGAATGACTTGACATCTTAGTTATTCTTACCTATGAACCTAACAAAAGATATAAATAATGAAAGTCCATTAATTTAAGCATGTTAGTGGACAAATTTTCAGCTCTTTTGTCTTCCTTTGATTATTGTAGCCCTTGAGCTTCTTCACAATAGAACCTAGCTCATAAAATTGAAGATAGATGTATAGTGTAGTTACTATAGTATTTACTCATCAAAATAACATGGGTGTCTCAATAATTGGTCTTTTCACCCTTTTATTTCATCTAATTGCCCATATGCTTTTTAAATCTGTAATCATTTATTTATCAGCACTAGTCAGTTTGATTTTGATGAAGACATGCTTAAATGTATTCTGAATCCATGCTCATGATCACTAAAGTAGTTCATGTGGCGATTTCAGGACAATCAGTTAGTGTATCTGGAACGTAATGCAGCTTTGTTCAACTCTTTGAGGTCGACTGTTTTATCTCACTCAAAGAAAGATGTAAGCTTTTTTAAATTGAATTGTGCTTCTTGTGAAGCTTGGCCTATCAAGGTTGCTAACACTATTTTGTAAACATTCCCAACTTTCTTTAGGACATAGTTAGCATTCAGGTTAGAAGAGGAGGAATCAACACTAATCAAAGTCATAGCCGGTGGCTTTCAACTATTTCTGAGGCCCCTGATGCGATATCAATGTCGTTTATTCCTATTACGTCTTTATTAAATGGTGTTCGTGGAAGTGGATTCTTAACGCATGCTATAAACCTGTACCTTCGTTGTAAGTTAATTTCTCAAGTTTTTGTTCGAAGTAAAAGATTATAGATGTAAATATACCATATTTTTATTATATTATGAACTATGCTTGGTTCAAACTTTGAACTTTTGGCTTTTGATTTTAGGTTGCTCATAATATTAAGAGAGAACAAAAAATCATATTCTTTTTTTGATGGTTCAACGTATCATCTTTACAAATTATTCAAATACATTATATTATCAAATTGTGATCTGTTGAATGCTTTTTGTGATATATTAGCCTTAAGATATAGACATGAAGAAAAAAAAATGATTATTATCCTTATATTTAGTCTCTCAAGGATAAGGGTGTAACCGAGCTATGTTGGTTCGCAAGGCAGCTCAAGCTAAAACACAAAAGCAGTTCTTGATGTGAGCTTAATGAGCCAAGCATATACTGGCCTCAATTAGGCTTGTTTAAAAAAAAAGGTATATATATATATATATATATATATCCTTTCTTTCCTTTTACTAGTTTCAAATTACTTTTACAAATTTTTTTCTTAAATTTTTTGTTACAATTCATCATTGAATTGAGTTCGAGCTGAAACATAAAATCATTTTATTTTCCCCGCGTCACTCAAATGAGAGGCAACTCAGACTCAGCTTAACTCATTTACAACTTTACTTAAGCCCCTATTTAAGGGTCTTCTTGAACTGCATGATTCTGAACATAGGAATTTTCACTTGACTTTAGTGTATAGAGGCCTAGAAACATGTCGCAAGTCCCTACAATTATCAGTGCAAGAGTTAGCTATATATATATATATATATTTGTTTTTTTTTGGGGTACTCTTTAATCATGTACGGTAGGATTATTTTTCTTAAAGAATCCATATTTAGATTATTTTGCTGGCCCTTTTTTCTTTATTCATTGGTATCTGATGGAAAGTGTGTTGTCAATATTATTATTCAGACAAGCCACCTATTGAGGAACTTGCTCAATTTTTGGAGTTCCAGTTGCCACGTCAATGGGCTCCAGCTTTTGGTGAGCTCCTTCTTGGTCCACAGCATAGGAAGCGTGGTTTACCATCCCTTCAGTTCACTATCTTGGGTCCCAAACTTTATGTTAACAATATCCAGGTATTTCTATGTTTCTTGAGAGCTCATTGTCTTCTTAAAATGTAAGCAATTCAGGGAGCAAAACTTTAGTTTCAAACTTTTATGATGCTGTTCACAAGTAAACTTTAGTTTCAAACTATTACGTGAAGAAATAAGTTGGTGTAGTGATTTTTTTTGCCAATGTTGTTTAATACTTTAGGGTAGAGGTAGACTTAAAAAGACTTTGTTAGAAAATATTAGAAATGACCTTTCTTTATTATATTTAAATGAGAATTTAATTTTTAATAGCACACAATGAAGAAAAAAGAATCATGTAGCCGACCTCACATAGTGGGATAAAAGCTTGATATTGTTGTTATTTAATACTTTATTATCTTTGGCTTTCTTTTGAGGGAGTTTGATTTGCATATGAAGACACCCTACTTAAATTTCTATAAAACCAATTCTTTTCCCTCGTTGGTGGCATAAACTTCACTGTGGGGACAACCGCTTTTGATGATTAGTTGAGAATATATCATTTTTGTTGTTTTATAGTTTAATCAAGGAAATGGATGTTGGATAAGGGTGCAAACGAGTCGAGTCGAGCTCGAGTAAGGGGATGTTCGAGTCGAGCTTGACTTTCAAAGACCAAGCTCTAGCTCGAGCTCGAGTCGAGTTCAAAATCCGAGCTCGAGCTCGACTCGTCTTCTTGTCGAGCGGCTCGTCGAGCTTTGCTGTCGAGCTCCGTTGTCGAGATCGAGATCCCTCGCTGGTTGTAGCGTCCATCCTCTCGAGGCTTCGTCGTCGTCGTTGTCGCATCTACCGTCGAGATCATTGTACTGAGCGGTATGAGCGTAATCGTGAACGTCCCGAGGTCTGTATGTTGTCGAGATCGCTCGCCTTCGCGTCTGCCGTCGAGTCCATCATCCCGAGCTCGTCCCGTCGCATCTGCCATCGAGGTTGTCGTCGAGCTCAAAAATTCCTGCTGTCGAGATCATCGTCAAGCTCGTTCTATTGTCTGCCATCGAGATCTTCGTCGAGCTCGAATTTTCTGCTATTGAGATCGTCGTCGAGCTTGTCCCGTCGTCTATCGTCGAGATCATCGTCAAGCTCAAAATTTTCTGCTTTTGAGACCGTCGTCGAGCTCGTCCCACCGTCTACCGCCGAGATCGTCGTCGAGCTTGAAATTTCCTGCCATCGAGATCGTCGTCATCGTCAATGAGCGTAATCGTGAACGTCCCGAGGTCTGTATGTTGTCGAGATCCATCATCCCGTCGAGTCCATCATCCCGAGCTCGTCCCGTCGCATCTACCGTCGAGGTTGTCGTCGAGCTCAAAAATTCTCGCTGTCGAGATCATCGTCGAGCTCGTTCTATTGTCTGCCGTCGAGCTCGAATTTTCCACTATTGAGATCGTCGTCGAGCTTGTCCCGTCGTCTATCATTGAGATCATCGTCAAGCTCAAAATTTTCTGCTTTTGAAACCATCATCGAGCTCGTCCCACCGTCTACCGTCGAGATCGTCGTCGAGCTTGAAATTTCCTGCCATCGAGATCGTCGTCATCGTCACGTCGTTGAGATTCATCTTTTTTTTTTCCCGCTCGCAACTTTGATTTCCCGCTTGCGACTTCGATTTATCGCTTCATGGGTTTGCATTTCCCTCCTGCAAGTTACGCCGTCGAGCTGCTCGACGAGCTAACGAGTCGAACAGCAGCCTGTTCGAGCTCGAACTTGATAAGCTGTCGAGCTCGAAATCATGTTCGAGCTCGATTCGCGAGCTCGATAAGCTCGACTCGTCGAGCCTGTTACCGAGTCGAGCCCGAGCCGGATCGCGAGTCGGCTTGATATGTTTGCACCCCTAATGTTGGATGCTTGCACGTCTTCATTGTCACAGTTAATCTAGTCATGATTAGTACAAAGTGGTATTTTCTTAGTATGAAGAAGATTTGATGTTATATAGATATGTAAAATAGAGATTTTTTTGTAGTATTATGTAAATCTCCATCATGTGTGTTCTCATACCCAAGCACGATTACACTAGTTAAAGAATGAATTAATTGCAAGTATTTTTCTGGTTTATCTTTCTTTATATGAAGTAAGAGGCCCAAATTTTGGGCTTGGTATGGGCCCTTGCCGAAATCAAAATTGAGTGCGTCATTCAAGTTTGCAAATAACTTTTGTTTTCTTCATCATCTATTTTGGATGAATTTGTGAATTTTCATTTAGAACTACTTGCAGACTTTTGTGGGAAGCATATCTCACTCGCTGTTTCTCTTTGCATGAGCTTTGGATTCTAATCTATTCATAACTGATTGTCCTGCAATTTAAGAAGTCATTTAATGCTTCTTTGGAGTCATGATAACAGTACTTGCAAAGGATATTTATCAAGTGACAATAGTAAATTGCTGCAGACTGTTGTTGAATCTCTTGCCTGTTGTGTGATAGAAAGTTACCCCTCAAACTGAATGGAAAATTCTATAAGATGGTGGTGAGACATGCATTACTTTATGGCGTAGAATATTAGCCATTAAAGAGAAGCCTAAAATTAAGTTAACTGTTGCTGAGATGAAGATGCTCAGGTGGATGAGTGGCTTCATTCTTGGAGACACAATGTGAAACGAGTATATACATAAAAAGGTTGGAGCAGTTCCAGTGGCTGATAAGATTATGAAAAGTTGTCTTTAGATGGTTTGGTCACATAAAACTTTTACATTCTGATGTAGAAGAGTAGGTGTATCTTGTTGAAACTCGTACACTATGAATTAGATTGTTAAGCCTAAGTTTATGTCCCATGGCTAATGAAGAGGGGGATGAATTGATATTTTAAAAAATAATCCTCTTTTGAGTATTTTAAACCGAAATTAAACTTTAATGAATTTTTGTAGAAATAGTTTTTCAACCACAGTTTTAAAATAGTAAATCACAAAAATAAAAATGTAGCGGAAAAATAAAGACACCAGATTTATAGTGGTTCGGTTAAAACCAGACCTACATCCACTCCCCGGAAGCACCCTCCGAGTATTGCATTAATACTACTAGTGACTCTCCTTTTGCACCCACAGCAAGGCGGAGAAGCCTTTACAAAACTCTTTTCACCACTACCCGATGCGGCAGAGAACCATCGTCCTTTTACACTATCCTCAGTGCTGGCAGAGAACTGTCTGTCCTTTCACACTTCTCCGATATCGGCAGAGAATCGTTCGTCCTTTCACACTCTCCTAGTGTGGGCAGAGAACCTTTCGTCCTTTCACACTTTCCTAGTGTGGGCAGTGAACCCTTCGTCCTTTCACACTCTCCTAGTGTGGGCAGAGAACCGTTCGTCCTTTCACACTCTCCTAGTGTGGGTAGAGAACCCGCGGCTGTTCACACTCTCCAAGGTCGGCAGAGAATCGAATCTCCTTGACAGATCTTCTCACAAGAATCTAGAAGGAAGAAAGGAAAAGAGTTGAGTAATCCAAGAAAGTTCACAAGTAGAGATCTTACTTTTAAAAAACAAGGTGAACCTTCACGCTTTTCAGTAGTAAGAATTCTTCTTGATTCTCTCACACTCTCTCATTGACTCTCTTTCAATAGCACGAAGACATGAGCAATAAGATGCGGTGGCAGTAAAAATTGGACCTTATATAAAAGAGACAAGAAAAACCGTCCAAAAACTGCAAATATTCAAGTCAACACGAAATGGATCGTCCCGTACGATCGTGGATCATCCTGGACAATTTTACTTAAAGTGTTGGAAACGATCCTAATGAATATTGGTACGAACTATGTTCGTACACGATCATCGTCCCGTACGAACTAGGTTTGTCCAGACGAACAGTTATTTCGTAGGTCGGTTCCCAAATTACCACAGGATGTAACACTTACTTAAGTCGGTTCCCATCGTCCTGGGACGAACAGGACTTCGTCCGGACAAAATTTTACGAGGCAACTCGTCCTGCACGATTATGAATTTGTCTGAACGAATTTTTACAGAGAAGACTTCGTCCAGGGACGATTTGGATTTTGTCTGACGAAATTTTTACAGAGCCCAAGTCATCCTGGCACGATTATAGATTTCGTTCTGAACGAAATTTTTACAGAGAGACTTCGTCCGGGGACGATTGGATTCGTTGGACAAAATTTTTACAAAAGCCTAACCTGTCCTGGGACGAAACTAATTTCGTCCTGGACGATCAGGACTTAGAAAAAATTTTCTCCAACTCTGTTCGCATTGCTCTTACGAGGAGATTAATTGACTTGTCGTTCCGTATGAACTGCTTCGTCCCGTACGATCACAGTACAAATTTTGTAGATCTCTTTAAGTGTGTGTGTGTGTGTTTTTTCACTCAATTACAATTCTCCTCTCAATTTAAAGACATTTTTTTTATTTTTAATTTTTAATTAAAGTTCAATTATACAAAGTATCTCATGCTGAATTTGATTTGAAGTCTTCATAGTTTGGAGTTCGATTTTCTTGAAATGTTAGTACACACAAGAGCAAAAACAAATCTTCCAAAAAGTGTTAGGAGATAACTACACATAAAACAATAATATTTGAAATCATCAAAATTATACAAGTTGCAAGAATGTAAAACATGCAAATTCCAACTCTCTTAACATATCTGATTTGGCCCTATGTTAATAAAGGTAGAGGTAGGCCTAAAAAGTTTTGGCTAGAAAATATTATAAATGATATTATTTTATTAAATTTAAATGAGAATTTAACTCTTAACATGACATAATGGAAAAAAAAATGTTTCATGCAGCCAACCCCATGAAGTGAGATGAAGGCTTAATGTTGTTGTTATTATTATACTGTTATTGAACTTATAATTTTACTGCGAATTTTCCCTTCTCTCTTGTTATGTATTAGACTCAACACTTCCCTCTCAGAGGGATGATACTTGCATGATTTGCAATTGGCTTTTTTTTTTTTTTTTCAGGTGAGCAAATGATGAAAATGGTCCATAAATATATTTTTTAGGTGTTCAATTGATCATTTAACTTCACAAATCTTAAACAATTTAATCATAGTGATGACATTTCATTATTTGGTTGAAAACTGGTGAAGGGGAGCTTTCTATGGGGGCGTTTTGGTCTTATTTATGATTTATGTAATTAGTTTGAACTGATATTATTTAGTGAAATTGCTCCTAAAAAGTTCAAAATGCCCTAATGAAATGCTTTCTTTCTCCAATTCCTATGCAAAGAATTGGCTTGTTAATGGAGGAGAATTGTTTAGATTTTGGCAAATTGATGGGCTAAATTGAATGCTCAACAATTTTGAAATTTTAATAAACACAACTAAAAAAAAATCTAAACATCATTTATTCTTTCTCATGCTGTTGTTGATGATTATAGTTCGAACTATTCAGTCCCACTCATTTAACATCATGTTATCACACAATATTCAATGCAGTTGAAGAAGTTCATGGTTAGAACAATGCAACCTCTTTAAACGTTGAGTTTACAATTTTATTCCGACTTGATGAACCATATTCATTATTAACTTCTTTTGCAGGTTGATTCAGGGGGACGACCAGTGACTGGGATTCGACTCTATCTTGAAGGCAGAAGGAACGACTGCTTAGCAATTCATCTACAGCACCTTTGTGCTCTCCCCAGCATTTTCAAACTATGTGACGACGAAGTTCACACAACCGAAGACATTACTACCAACCAAAGAGCATATTTTGAACCAATCAAGTGGGCTCTCCTATCTCGTGTCTGTACTGCTCCAGTTCAGTACAGTGGAGCTCACTTAGATGAAACTGCCTCCATCGTTACCAAAGCTTGGCTGGAGGTGAGAGAGATTGGCTTCAGGAGAGTGCTCTTCCTTCGACTTGGCTTTTCACGCATAGCGTCAATGAGAATTCGTCGTTCAGAATGGGATGGCCAAAGCAGTATCTCAAGGAAGTCAGGCTCCATCTCAGCATTCATTAGCTCGAGATTCAGCACAGGTATTTTACCAAAGCCAAAGCCAAAGGTTGAAGTGAATTCTGCAGTCTTTCCTGGTGGGCCACCTACACCATTCCGAGTTCCAAAACTTGCGAGGTTTGTGGACACTACTGAGATAGCTAGAGGTCCAGATGATCTTCCAGGTTACTGGGTAGTGACTGGTGCTAAGTTGTGTGTGGAGGGTGGGAAGATCTCTCTAAAGGTTAAGTACTCCCTATTGGTTTTGATACACGAGGATGACTGAATCTGTAGGCACTTAAGTGCAATTTGTTAGAAGTTAGTAGGTTAGCGTGCGAAAGCTCCCAACTATTCTCGGCCAAAACTAGGTGGTGACTGGTACTGAGATGTGTGTGGAGGGTGGGAAGATATCTCTGAAATTCAAGAACTTTCTCTTGGTATTGATACGTAGGCATTGAAGTACAATTTGTTTGAAATTAATAGATTAGTAGGCTCGAGTTTGGGTTAACTGTGAGAAGCAAAAGTGATTTGTTGGGGTCAAACTATGTTCAGGTCAATAAATATAATGAGTACATTAGGATTAGATTAACAATTTTTTTTTAGCCATTTAGGTTTCATTTGAGACGGCTTTCTTACTGCTTTTTAAAGCAGCTTTTTAGTACAAAATTTTTATTTTTTATTAAAAAGTCACTTTAAGAAGCATAAAGAAAGCCGTTCCAAACGAAACATTAATTTATAGGGAAATAATCATTGTTGCAAACTCATTACTAGGCGAGCCATAAATCATAGATTATAGGTTGCCGGCAACTCCAAAAATCAGGTGGGATAGAGAAAGACGCAAGAACATAGGTTAAGGAGATTTTACCTGATTACATTTCATCATGTCATAATACTCCAACAGAGAATATTTATAAGGATACAAAGATATCTTAGACATATGAACTACCTATTAATCCTTCATACCTATTACTTATTTATGAATCAAATGACTCAAAAAGACCTGTTAATCTAATCTTAATCAACCCATCAAACTTATTGACCTTAACAAACCCGAGCCAGTAATCACATCTCTTTTGATATTGGACTTCAGCTTCAGGTTTGGCTTCTGGGTGTTTTAGATTTATAATTTCTTTTATCTGCAAAGAGATTCCTGTCTTTCCAATGATGTCGATGTGTTGGGCCCGAGCTATTATATGTTATCCTGACATTTTTTCTGGCTTACAAATGAATTTTAAGCTGTCAAAGTTTTTTTTTTTGGTGTATTATACAGAACTTTATCATTGTATATAGATTATTAGGGATTGAATGCGAGATTTATTTCACATTTGCTTATGGCATATAGTTTGACTGCTGTGGCTTAATTAATTTTACTGTTTTGAAAGCCACCCACCATTAGTGGCATAATTACATTTATTCCAATTATTTGTCAATTTTATGATTTTTTTTCCAGTTGTTCGATGGTTAGCTTTGTTTTAAGCCCAAGAAAAAGGATTTGGCTGTACACAGATAAATGATTAGCATGTGATGTTTTAGCTTTTATGAGTTGTGAAGGGAGAAATATTAATGTAATATCTTCTCAAAGAGGAAATTCTAAATAAATGACTGCATATTAATTCACTGCAAATATAGTTCTAAAGATATTTGTAAAAATTATTGCAGTGTCAGGAAAAATAGTAAAAATCATATTCTTTAAAGTGTGATCATTGTAATAAAATTATTATCCTTTTTTTTGTTTTAAAAAAGTTTATAATATAAGATTTCTCAACAAATTTATTTTTCCTAATAATCTTATAATTATTTTCTGCTTCAAAAAAATCCCGTTATTATAACGTGTCATAATATCAAATTTGAATGAAAAAAGTGTATTAAGATATTTCGATACATATTATATCAGGATGGAGTTAAAAATTTTTGGAATTAGTGTAGCATATAAACATTTATATTATGTTAATTTTAAATCAAAAATATTGATTTTAAATTTATTTTTATATAGAGTTTGTTTTTAGATGGTTGTAGCTTTTTAAAAGTTGGTTGTAAATTTATAAAAAAAATTATTTAAAGCTGTTAAAAATAACTTTTTAGTATATAATAAAATTAATAGCAAAATAAAATTATAGTTACTACCAGGAAAAAAGTCTTAAATAACTGATAATTTTTAAGATATATTTTATTTTTTTCATATGGACTCATTGAGCATTTATAGCTAAATTTAAATCATAAAGGCCTCAAAATCCATCTCCCACAAATTAAAAACATGTTTGACAAAATTGAGATATTTTTAATCTCATTAAATACTAACTATGACTTAAAAAACTAAATTTAAAAATTTAAAAGTACAACAAACTAACGACTTCTTCGTAGATTGTAAGAAGAGATGACGGAGGCTAACGGCTGCCAAACTCCCGCATAAAAAGTAGGTGGGATTGAGAAGGTGTCCAGCTGTTAAAATTATGGTTCTTATGCGGCCATACCTTCCAATTGTTCCTCGTCGGGGTTGAATTTCCAACCCAATCATCATGCGCTTCGCTGGCTCTCACACCCCACTTTATTTCCATTTATATTTAATAATAAATAAATTAATATACTGTCTCCAATCTTCGATATTCATATTATTTTTTATGAGATAATATTAAAAATACCTATCATGCCAGCATGATTATGATGCTTTGATATGACAAGGGCATTTTTGTAGGTGTGGTGACATAAATTTCAAACAAGTTTTTTTTTTTTTTAAATTGAATATTTATCACTTTTATTATTTTTGGTATATGTAATAATGATAATAATAATTTAAATAAATTTACTTACTAATTGGATTTATTTGGGGCCAAATTTTGGGAAGGAGCTTGTAACAATTGTAATTTAGGAGAAGCTTGATTGGAAAAGAATTTAAGAAGCGGCGTATACGCTGTAGTAATTGGCGCATTGAAAGAATGCTCTCAATTAATTGGCACATTCTTAGAATGCGCGTGATTGCATGGCGCTTTCTGAAGAATGCGCGGTATAGCTTAGCGCATTTCTCTAATTTCCGAAGATTGCGCCTAATGTTTCGGCGTATTCCAGCCATACACGATTTTATGGATTCAGTGCAATGGCAGGCCGAAATATTGCCTCAAATTTGATGCATTTTTGATGGATTCAGTGTTCTCGGAATCAGGAGTATTGAATGAGTAAGAAGGTTTTTTTTTTTTTGTGGCTTTAGGTGTTTGTTAAACTTGATTTTGTAAATGATGGTAGCCGTATCCCCACCAATTTTTACGTTTGAGGTTTGAGGTTGGGAATGATAATATTGTTGGATTAGAGTAGTTTTATTATGTTTAAGAAATGTAAAATAAATATACAATTATTAAAACCCAAATTTTTTGTAATGAATTAAGAAAGTTGAGTAGTATTTGTTAATGAATTATATATATTGAATTAGATTAAAAAGCAAAATTTGAATAATTTTTAATCTTATTAAACATATTAATTGTGGTATTAAATTATATTGAAAAGCTTAAAATAAATTTAAAGTAAAAAAATAAATTTTTTATGAAAAATGCAAATTAATAAAATAAATTATTTTTTAGGAAAAGTATTAGAATTTTGAAAAATAAGTATTAAATAATAACTTAATGTATATTTTGGATTAAAGCTGAGCATATTCTCTACTTTTTTTTAAAGTTGCTGTTTCAGATTGTGCAGTACTTAGCAAAATAACTAATGACCTGTAGAAGCAAAAAAACTTAAAATTTGGAATAGAAATAGTGCGGAAAGTAATCAACACAAGTTCATGTTAGTACATACGATAATGATTGAAAGCAACATAAAAAAAAACTATTATTACATGTGGCTCAGTACTATGCGCATATGCGCTTGGAGTTGGGTTAAAGTTGGACAGCATAAGAATTTTTCTGTGAACTGCTTTTGGATGTAGTGCCAATCTTTTATATTTAAGAACTCATTCTTCTTTTTACCATCTATAATATTCAGCTCTTGATATTTTTCTGATAGAAATGCATCTTGATAAGTATGCCACCTTTTATAAGAATACAATGTTGCACATCAGTTATTGGATTCTCAACATTGACCACTACAGAACCATCTTTTTTCCGTGCGATTTCACCAATTCTTGTCCTAAGAATATTTATGGGAGCAAAATGACCATTATGATCCCTAAACCTTTGTTGTACAAATTTCTAACCCATATCAGTAATTATTTCTCCATCCACATACATGGGGTAATGACTTTTAATAACTTCATGATACGCATCCCATAAACTGTCATCTTCATACCAAGACCACTCATGTAGACAACATCGAAAAATTTTATTTGATCTTGATTTCTCCTCCAAGGGATACGACATAGATTCTGTCAATCGAATAGTACCATCATAGATCAACTTCTTTCTTGGAATAATATGTAGGAAATCTCTTGATGGCGAGCGCTTTATTGATGAGGTACTTGATGATGAAGACATTAAGTGCTGAATTTTTAGCAAATGCAATATGAGTTATCATTATTAAAATAATAATACATAAAATTTAAAAGAAATGATTTGAGAAGTAGACTCACATTAATAAAACAAATTTGAATTTGAGTAACAATTAGAAAAAAAAAATATTAAGCATCAACATTACAAAAGGAATTACATTTTAAATTTCTAACGAAAGAACAACATAAAGTACTTTTTCGAAGTTACTGATTCATATTGTTAAGTACATATCGTAGATGATTTTGGATCTGTGTTTGTGTAGGACAACAGTTGAAGTTGATCTAAAATTGATGTTGTATTTGCTGCCAATCTTCTCCATTAAGAAATTCCTTTGCTTTAGCATGTTTAGAACTTCGCAACAACTGTTTATAAGAATCTAACATGTGCTTATTATATTCAGTCGTCCAGTAGGAGTATAAAATACAATTATTTATATCCATCATGGACCTTCCCAAACCCGGTTCAATGTCACCGTTTTTAGCACGACAAAGTTCTAGAATTCGACCTTTCAGGAAATCTTTTGCCACAAGGTGGTGCTTAAATTCAGTAAAGCCTTCTTGTATACATTTCCAGCCTAACTCTCGACGTGTAGTGTTACATCTATATTCCTTCTCTTTCATCGTATCATCGTGTAAGTGCCACAGTAAGAAATCTTCATCTTCATCCCAAGTATATATAACACACCTAAATAGTTCATTTGATGATACCCTGGCTTCAAGGTCCTCATCGGTAGGATAAGATAAGCTTTCACGCACCCGGATAGTACCCTCTGTAATCCATTGTTTGCTTTCGACACTGCTGCTATCATCCAAACTTTCATTTATTATTACTTTTGCTTCTACGAAATCATTTGTAGTATTACCGTCGTACTTTTTATTTAGCAGCAAGAGTGTCTTTTATTTTAATATGTTATGTTATCCTGTTTATGTAGTAAATCTCTTGATGGCGAGCGCTTTATTTTTTAGCAAATGCAATATGAGTTATAGTTAAGGAAATGTGGAACCCTATTTGAAGAGGTATGTGTAAAAATACATTTTGGCAAGTGAATTGTAGTAAAAATGACTTAGTGAAATCAAAATTAATTGAATTCAAAAAAGAAATTTACCTTTATTAATAACCATAAAGAAGAGTGCATACAATGGTAGATATTAAATTAAAGGGTGCAATTTAACCTTAGTTGTCACCAAACTTTAACAGTTACATTTACACACAAATAAAGAGGGCAGCATAAATAAGAGAAATTATTATTACAGATTATCTAACGATGGCGCCGGAGAGCCCTACTACCAGGAGTATACCTATTTGGGGCCCTCTTCTTCGTCGTTGTAGTTGTTGCTCTTCCTCAATGAAATCCTCTTCTTGTTCTTGTAATTCTTGTTGACGTTGTGCCTCAACAGGGTATTGTTGTGATATTACTCCTACCATTAATAGTATATCTTGCTGTGTGGGGGAGGACGGTAACCCTACATTTGACATCCACTCTGGGACTGTAACTGGAAAAAATGATTGCGTTGTGGGTTGCTGAGATGGTGTACCGTAATATATTTCATGTGCAGCACTTTCCTGCATAGGAAATGTGCTCCAATGTTGTGTTGATGGCTCTGCCCCAGTCATGTCATAGGAGGACGATGGAATATGCATTGAATGTCTAGATGGTTCACGCTCGGTATTTTGGCGTCGACGACTTCTCATGGATCTAGAAGGAGCATCAGAGGTTGACCGTCTTGCATCTTCAGGCCTACCTTGACTCCGTTCTTCTATTGTGGTGTCAAAAGTTGTATAGTCGATATAAACTGAGCGTTGCACTCTAGCCGATAATTCAGCAACCTGGTCAACTGCTAATTGCAAT